AGCCATGGGATATGGAAATGATTGGACATGGCTGTGTTCCAATAAAACTTTATTTACAAAAATAGGCAGCCAGCTGGCTTTGGTCTGAGTCATCGTTTGCTGACCCTTACCCTGCAGACTTGTAGGTCCACCGTCCTCTGCACATCACAGTGGTGGTTGCTTCCTGCCTGTAGAAATAGCACTTTGAACTGTTGAATCCAATGTTATTTCCAAAAGAACAGAGGGAAGAAACTGGGGTACCTGTGATGTCAAAAAGAAAGCTTTACTAGGCCAGGAAAGGGGATGGGGCTTGGGGGCCAGAAGAGCAGTGAAGGCAGCAGCCCAGGCGTGTCCTAGAGGGGTGACATGGCAGAAGGACAGCTTGTAGTGATTCTCTGCAGAATTGAACTTCAGACCTCATCTGGTATAGTCCCAATTTACAGGTGAAGTCGCAGGGTCCCTGGGAGGAGGGCAAGTGGCTTGGTATCACTGAGACATATGTGTGATGCAGACACATTCTCCTGCCTGCATACCTGGGCTTGCTCTGCAGCCCACACCACTGTCCTCCAGCCCCAGTCCAGGGTAGGACAGCCTGAGCCAAGGGGCAGCTCAGTGGCCAGGTGACTTCTCTGTGACTGAATTCTGAAGTTGAGCTTGGGAGAGACACACGTGCTGCAGAGAACTGTGCTGTGACAAGCAAGGGGAACCCACAGACACAAAGCATGTCCTGTGTACCAGCAGCAAGGGAACTTAACAGAGCTGAGCAGGAAGCAGGCTGTGTCCCCCCGTGATGACAGTGAGTTCCCTCAAGACACGGGCTACAAAAGACCAAAAAATCGTATGTTCTCCCTCATATGTAGACATTAGCTCAAGGGCAAACACAACAAGGGGATTGGACTTTGAGCACATGATAAAAGCGAGAGCACACAAGGGAGGGGTGAGGATAGGTAAGACACCTAAAAAACTAGCTAGCATTTGTTGCCCTTAATGCAGAGAAACTAAAGCAGATACCTTAAAGCAACTGAGGCCAATAGGAAAAGGGGAACAGGTACTAGAGAAAAGGGTAGATCAAAAAGAATTAACCTAGAAGGTAACACCCACGCACAGGAAATCAATGTGAGTGAACTCCCTGTATAGCTATCCTTATCTCAACCAGCAAAAACCCTTGTACCTTCCTATTATTGCTTATACTCTATCTTCAACAAAATTAGAGTTAAGGGCAAAATAGTTTCTGCTGGGTATTGGAGGGGGAGAGGGAGGGGGCGGAGTGGGTGGTAAGGGAGGGGGTGGGGGCAGAGGGGAGAAATGAACCAAGCCTTGTATGCACATATGAATAATAAAAGAAAAAGGAAAAAAAAAAGACACGGGCTAGCTTTCAGTGAGGTTGAAGTAGCGTGTGTCACACAGTAGGTGCTCAGAAACCAGTAACATGCAGGAAGCAGCAATGAGCAGCAGCAGCTGTCGGCTGTCTGCGATATCCACTGCAGTCTCCACACAAGTGCATGCATGCATGTGTGACCTGATTGTGGTATGAATAGATTCTAGTGGTTCACGCTTACTGAGCACTTACTGTGCACCAGTACAGTCTAAGTGTTTTACACATGGTTTCATTTAATTTGTCCCCATCTCACAGATGAAGAAACAGAGGCCTGGATGGCATTGTAATTTGTTCATGGCCCTGCAGTAGTAAATGGCAGATCTGGAATTTCAACTTAGGTCACCACAGTATCTACCACCCTGGCCTCTCCACTAGGGATCTGTCTGCAGACCTGCAGACCACCTATCGTGTGTAGGTTTGCAGTGAAGGTGGGAATGAGTGTGGAGGGTAAAAGAGGTCCAAGTGTCACAAGGTTGCTGCCTGGAGGCAGGGAGACTCTGCTAACAGCACAGTGAGGCTCTTACAGCACTCTTATACCCCAGGCACTGCTCTGAGCACTTTATCAACCCGCCTGGAGGCCCATTCTGACCTGGTACTCCATTGATCAGATGGGAGCTGACACAGAGGTGGTGGTAGGCCACGCCAGGTATAGACCCACTGAGTGGCACCCTGGAAAGAGGGTCATGACAAGAGCCCTATGTGGGAGCCAGAGGGGGAAGAGGTCAATGGGGGCAGAACCCTAGCCCCACCACTTGCAGGGGTCAGTGGTGTGACCCCTGGGGTCAGAAAGAACTTACAGAACCACTGCCAGAAGGGCAGCTGCAGTGTCTGGGTGTGTGAGGTCTGCCCACTGTTGGGTCCTGTATTAGGAGTGGGCTGCCCCAGTTCCATGGAGGGCTGTGGGTATCTCACCTTCACCACCCCTCAGGCGACTCCCCTGTGGCCCCTCCCCACCAGGTGTTCAAACACATGGTGCCAAATGCCAGATGTGGTGATCTGAGCCTTGGGTAAGTGCTCTCAATATTTCAGGCTTCAAACAACACCGTGTAAACAGCATCTATGAAATATGAATGGATTGTGGTTTTAACAAGCAGGTAGCACAAGCATTATACCAAGACAGTGATGGGGGAGAGGACAATGAGGTCTGGAGGAACCACAGGGATGCCAACCACATCCCTGGAGGTAGGCCCAGGGTTTGTGGGATGGCTGTCCTGTGCATGTGGGTCATTGGGGGCCAGTGTACAGCATACAGGGCTGAGCTGGGGCTATGTCTGGTGGGAGATGGGGGCAACTGGAGGCAGCCTGATAGAATATGCTCAACAGACTTTGTCCTTGGTTCCTGGGACCTTGGGAGGAACCAAGGGAAAATGTGGTACAGTATGGCTCTTAGAGCACCAGGAGGCCATCTGTGCTAGGGAGAGGGTGCAGAGCATAGTCTGCTGGTATAAGTCTCTAGGATCAGAGAGAGGGAAGGCAGGCAGAATGCTGGGCACCTTCTTTCTTAGACTTTCCTTCCTATTCCCTCCACCTGGTCAGAGTCCCTTGCCTGGCCTCACCTTGCGGGATGCTGGCTCAGTGTGTCCAGCTACTCTTTTGGCCCTCACTGCCTTTACTGACCCTCCTGGGGGCCAGCCCAACACCCCTATGCCAGTCCCTCTGGACTGACTCTCACAGCCCCTGAGCCCCTGGTCTAGGTGTGGGAAGACATTCAGCCTCAAAACACCAAGGCCCCACAGTCTGCACTCTCTCACCTTCCTCCACTTTAGTGGCTTCTTATCTTCAGCATCTTCCTTCCTGTCTGATAGGCCCTACACTGTCAATGAGGTCAGGTCATTGACCTCATTTTTCCATGTTTAAAATGAAGAGAGGCTGGATATGGTTTTCCCTGAAGTCTCTTCTAGCCCTTACACTCAGCAGGCTCACCATTCATTGCCTTCTCTTTCCACCTTGGCAGAAACCATGGGATCAAGGTCTTGCTGTCTGCGGTCAGAAAGAAAGCAGTTGGAGGTGTCCCTGAGCTAATCCAACAAGCTGTAATGCAAATAGGCCCAGCTATGGAGCATGCTGGGGCCTCAGCCTGTGGGGATAGGGACAGGGGAGAGGGCTGGGAACTGGCATCTAGTGGGAAGCCAGGGGATGGACCCTTGGTGTCTAGTAAGTCCTTGAACTTGTTTGGAGATTCCAGTGGGAACAGGGGGAGCTGGGGCAGCAGGAGTGACTGACTGGCTGGGTCTTGCTAGTACCTGTGAGGATTCACTGTGGCTATAAGTAGAGCTGGTCCCTAGTGCCGGGGTCCAGCCTGGTTCCCTAGTGAAAGCCGAGTTGGCCATTCCCTGGGGTTCCAAGTGAGCAGGGCCCTGTGCTGTGCAGGTATTTAGCACAAACCAGAGCCCTCCCCCAAAGTCACTCGGCTAGATGTGCCAGTGCCAGGCCCCTCCAGACACCGTCTCCCAGGCTGCAGTGGATAGGCTGGCTCCAGACCGCTGACCAGTGGAGCATCTGAAGTGGCTCTCCTGGGACCTGCCCTGGGCAATGCTCAGTACCCAGTACCACCGGTAAACAGGGCTGGCACCTAACCTGGCTCCAGTGGACACTCAGGCTGGGCAAGTGGGTATTGGAAGGTGCAGGTAGCCCCTCCAAACGCATCAAAAGAGGCCACCTTCTCCCCAACCAGGCCTGAATGGGCAGGGAGAAAGTCTAGTTGTTTTTGGAAAAAAAAGCCCCTTATGGAGAATCCTCCCACCTGAGAAACTGGCAGGGTTGATGAGAGCTGCTGATTTCCTGAGCTTTCAAAGGTGGAGGGGTGGCAAATGAGAGTTTTCTGTAATCCTTCACTGATGGATTAGATGATGGGGCAGATCTCACAGGAGCAAAGATGACCTTGGGAAAACGTGGATTCTGTCAAAAGGAGAGAGAAATACTCTCCCTTCCTCATTCCACTGTCAATAAGGCTTCTCGGCGTAGGGCGGTGGATGGAAACTTTGCTGGCTGTGTAGCCTCCCGGCTCAGGAGACTGTAGCATTTGACTGCGTGATAAGAAATTGCCAGGCGCTTCTAATTACAATTATCATCATCATGGATGTCTCTCTTAATTACTTTCTTATAATTAGCTGTGGTGTTTTCCTCGGCATTTGTGTACTTTGCAGATTTGCTGACATTTGTGAGCCCCAAAATAGGGACATTTGGGGAGGGGGACAGAAAGGTGGGGGCAAGGCGCTTGTTCTTTTCAGGCAGGCTGGTACATTTTGGGGCCTTTCAGAAAGAAATTGGGGGTAGGCAAAAGATGGAAGGGACAGGTGATTTCTTGAGCTGATGGAGCAAGGGCTCAGGAGTGTGGGTTGGGAGCTGTAGTTTGTGGGGGGCTCTACAGGTAAAACACAGGTGAGAATTTTCTTGAAAAGCCACCAAGGCTGCCATTTTGCAGGCTTGGGTTTCATTTTAGGAAGCAAGGCTAGGACAGAGTGCATTCTTGTCTAGTCCATTTCAGAGTTAATTAAACAACTCGAGTCATGGGAGGCTGATTTTTCACCAAGCCAGCGCGTCCCTAGCATCCTCAGCACCAGGGAGTTGTGACAATGAGGGTTCTGCTCCTTGCCCAAATGGTTGGTTCTCACTGTGTTCTTTGCTTCTTTCTTCCTCTCAGCCCTGTGTACAGAGGAGTGTGTGCATGGCCGCTGTGTTTCTCCGGACACCTGCCATTGTGAGCCCGGCTGGGGAGGCCCTGACTGCTCCAGTGGTGAGTCTGGGCTCTTTGGGAGTCAGTGGCCCACTGGCTCTGACTTAGGAGGGGCTGTGGCATGTGCATGCATTGGGCTGGAGTGACTCAGGATGGGCTGTCCTGCTGGCGAGGACACTGGGAAGGAGGTAATGTGGGATGGCACTTGTGGGGGTACTGGCCTGGGGGTATAGGCAAATGGTTGGTGGAGTATGAGGTCATGTGGATTGTGTAAGCATAGGGAATCATGGAGCCTCTGTAAAACTCTGACTTTCAGTGGTACACCTCTAGGCAAGGCCTCTGAGTGTTGATAAGGACTTGAGACACTGCCCAAGGGTTCAGATCTGGGAGGTCACTGTGGACTAGGCCTTGTCCTTGTCTTTGCTAGTCTGAAGGCTCAGATTCATGCATGCTAAAGAGGTACAGGAGAACGGATTCATGAGACTAATGGGTATTGGGATATCCGTGTGTCCCAAAAGCAGGAGAATGGGACACTCCTTGGGCAGGATACTGTGTCCCTGCATCTCTGTGCTTGGATCATTTACCTTCTTCGGGGAATCCTTCCTGATAAGCATGAGGGAGGCAGATGCTCTTGGGCTGAGCCAGTGAACCACAGTGGCATGGGGCATCATATTTACTGTGGAGTTGGTCACCAAGATGGGGGTACAGCTGACAGCTGCTTGGGGAATTCTCTACCAAGGACCCACTGAGGACAAATCCTTCCCCTCTAGTTTGCCACAAATATTCCGATGGCCCCCTTTGCACAAGCATGTTACACAATCATGGTTGATGGGTCTTACTTGATTTTTAGAGTGTGTGCCTCAGTAGAAGCCAGTTTTCTTCCTGCTTGGAGCTGGAGTGAGTGTCTTTTTGTGGTGATTTGACTTGACGCCATAGCCAGATTGGTCCATTAGGGTTTTGTGCTCCATGGTTTGCCATCTTGGGGAGCCATGTTCCCCATCCCATAGTGACTGGATGCTGGTGAAAATTTAAAGAGGGGAATGTTGGGTCCATGTTGGCCTGATGTGGTGTCCCTGCCACTCCCACCGTCTGCTGGGCTGGAAGCATCTAGTTGTCCTTTTGTGGAAAGGCCTCGAGTGGGAACTCCCTGTGCACCCAGCACATGAGTTCACAGCAGCCAACACAAGGCCATGGGATACAATGGTTTTGTTTTGAGCCTTGGTGATTGTCTTGTCTCAGGGAGCCCAGGATCTGTTTGTTGTCCCCAGGGGACTCTCTAATGTGCTGGGGGCTGCGGAGGCCTCCTTCCATGCATTCCACTGCTTTGAGGTGGGCTATGGCTGAGAAAGGGGGCCAGACAAAGAACCTGAGGGACACATGTGCTAAAGAAATGTGTTCAGCCTGTCTTTCTGTGGACTTGAACTCCAGGAAACATGTTGGGTGAAACATCTGGGTGATTCCTGCAGCTCTGTGTTTCATTTTGTATAGCTTGGCATACGCTGATGAAGAAACATCTAAGTACCTGGTCTGAGATTGGGAGGATGGAGGTTTGAGGCCACTCCTGACAAACAGTTTGTGAAACTCCATCTCCAAAAAATAACCAGAGCAAAATGGACTTGAGGTGTGGCTCAAGCAATAGAGCACCTGCTTTGCAAGTGCAAAGCACTGAGTTCAAGCTCCAGTCCCACCAAAAAAAAAAAAAAAATAAATAAATAAGAAAGAAAGAAACATCTAAGTTGAGTGAGCAAGCCCTGCTGGGCTGGGTCTGCCTGCTGCACCTGAGTGTGGGATCAAGGGCAGGCTGATGGAGGAGGAAATGTGACCTCTGGACCCTGTGTTCCCTGCAGGCAAAGGACAGATAGTGCTGGCCCATAGGGCAGGCCCCGAGTAGCCGTTCAGAAATGGTCTGTGTCTTCTCAGGCTTGCAGTCTGGTGATGCTTGACGAACAGGAGCAGGTCTTGCCCCACAGTGTTTACCAAACACACAAGGAATCAACCCTGTTCCTGTACAGCAAAAGACTGTAACTTTTAACCACTGTGCTCTCATCAGATTTGCTACATAGCGACCCACGGCCTTTCCTCTTTGTTAAATCCACCTGCATGGGCTGCAGGACTCCCACTCAACCTGCTTTGTTTTGAGGGGCAGCAGTATTGGATTGAGAGGATTCATGGGTTCTCACTTTGATGGTTAATCTTCATCATCAGCTTGATTAGATTGAGAAGCACCTAGGAGATGAGTAAAGTGAACCTCTGTGTGTGTCTGTGAGGGCATTTTCAGAGAGATTAACCAGGGGGAAAGACCCGCTCTGAATGTGAGTGGCACCATCCCATAGACTGGACGTGGGCTAGGTGGACTACAAAGGGCCCCTAGTGCAGGGGTTCTCTCTGCTTCCTGGCTGCCATGAAGTGAGCTCCTTTGCTCTCTCCCCACCATGACGGACTGAAACTTATGAAACCCTGAGCTGACATAAATAATTCCTCCCTTAAGTTGGTCACAGTGGTGCAAAAGTATCTAATCCACTCACAGTTGGTATCACTGAAAGCATCGAATTGTTTAGAAGCCCTGCTAAGATCCTTCTAACCTCTGCTTGAAGCCCTCCAGTGCTGGAGTTGCTCACAGGGGAAGGAGGAACAGCTTAAAGTTGTGGCCTGAAATATTGTTGTGCAGAGAGGAACCAGTGTGGGGACACACATTGTTACTGGCGTTGCTCTGAGCAGCCTGGGCCTGTGTGCTGTTGTGCACTTGGACACCTGTCTGCCTGTGTGTGCTCTGCAGTATCTTGGGGTTGTTGTGGGGCCCATAGTCACAGGATGAGTGTGACACCTGGCGGGAAAGAGTTGGTTTGTGTTCAGTGAGAAGCATCACCCTTGCTAGTTTGTCTTTCTTTGTTTCTTAAGTTATACCTGTTCATGATCAAAAGAAAAATTAAACTGTGCCAAGAGTAAAGATCAGAAAGTTTGGACCCTCTTCTAAGATCACCACTGTGGTGTTGGGCTGCTTGTCCTCCTTGTCACTTGTCTGCATTGTGGAGCTAGCTCTGGACATCTTGTATATCCCCACCCATAACTTGCTTCTTAAGTCATGTACTCATTTCCTTGTCAGTAAACATCAGTCTTCTTTAAATGTTTAATGGCCTTATAGAATTTCATCCTGTGGATCACCAAATGTTTTTCAACTGTCCCCAGCTGGTGAGCAATTAGGGCGTTCTGATTCTTCTCTATTACAGGCCCACCATCCTTTATCCAAGATCCTTGGGGCCTTTTGGTTTTAGAATTTGGAATTTGTCACAGTTTACAAAGCACATGGTGACCCTGTTGTGTATGACATATTCCCCCATGGGGTGTGGACACCCCCTGGGTGAAACAGCAATGTTTCTGAGTGACTCCTGATTGGTCACATCTAGTGACATAAAAGCAATACGTGGCCTCAAGGCAGGTCCCTGCAGATTGACTGCTCCTGAATTTTGACAGTAAACTTTGAAAACAGGGTTTTGAACTTTTTCAAGATTTTTGGATTGTGGATGTGTGGACAAGGGCCTGTGACCTGTGTAAAATGTTCTCCGGATTCTTTTTGGCACATGTCCTTCCTGCGTTTCTCAGTTTCTTCTGAGGATAAATTCCTGGAAGTGACTGGGGAAGTTAGAAAGACCCATCATCCCGTTACCTGCCCTCCCTGCCCTTTGTGGTTGCCAAGGGACTTCTGATTTTGGCAGTCGTGAAAGGGACAAATCTCGTACTCGGGTGGGGGGGGGACTTTACATCCTTTTACAGACTTAGCACCCCATAGCCTATTTCTTTGAGACTAATTTCTTTCTGCTCCATAAAGGATGGGGACAGATGCACCAGCGTTGTGGATAGCTCTGAGCTGTAGACAGACCAGTATGGGGAAATGGAGTAGCTGCATGTTTGGCCATAAACCCTCATCTCATGTAATAATGAAGAGTAAAAGGATGAAATGTCAGTTTATACTGAAGAAAGACGAGAGTGACTCTTATTAAATTGCACTAATCTCACGAGTGGAGACAAAAAGAAAAAAGTTTTCGTATATTGAATATCTAGCTTTTTAAAGTAATTAGAAATATTAAAGCACTGACAATGATTGAGATAGGGGCATTATTCATAACTTTTATTTCCGTACTGGGCAATGAGCCAGTATATTTCATTTATGAGGTTTGAGCTGTAAGGAGAAGGACGTGAGCCAATTCCTAAATTAAATATGCCCTGTTAACTTTTATAAATGATACCCAAGAATTAACTTGGAAATTCAAGCTTTCATTGTATTATTTTAATTATTGTATTTCCTGGGTCCTGCTTCTCTGTTCCCATGGTGCTTTGCAGCTTGGGTTCTGGGTAGTATAATGGATTGGTTTGGAGTCCCAGGACTCCCTAGGAAGGGTGGGGTAAACATGAAAGAAGTTGTGTCCCTCCTTGTTTCTCCTTGTCCCTACCATCTTCCATTTCCCTAGGTTCTCACATGCCTGTCCCACTCGTGTGTAGAGAAAGTGGGGGACAATAAGGCCTGGCACATGTCCCAATGCCTGGCAGCCCCTCCCCAGCTCCCAGAAGCTGACTCTAGGCAGCCCTGAGTGAGATGGCAGCCAGGACCAGGCTGGGTCTCCACCACCAGCAAGTCTGCCCAGGCTGTGTGTTCTTATCTTGAGGGTGTGTGGGACTGGCTGACTTGGCTTTTGTTATCTTTGCAAATGCAGATGGAACATAGCCGATGCTCCAAAGCCAGTCTGGAACTACTAGGTCACAGTGCTTCTTCTCAAACTAATGTTTGTGCTTGCCAGAGACGTTTTGAAATTTGTAAAATTTGCATAACACAAAGTTTCTCCCTGTTAGCCCTTTTTAAGTGTACGTCTCTGTGACATTAGCACATTTGCATTGCTGTGTGGCCATTGACACCATCTTTTGCCAGAACACTTGTCTTCCCCAGCTGAAGCTCTGCACCCACTGTACACCAGCCCTGCAGCCACCATTCTACTGTCTGAATTTGACTACTGTGTGCTTCACATAAGTGGAATCATACGGTGTTTGTCCTTTCATGATTGGCATAT